TCAGAGCTGAAAGGTATGAGCGACAAGGAAAGAATAAAAGACCTGAACCTCACATCATTAGAAGAGAGAAGAAACCAAGAAGACATTTATCACCAAATACAAAATACTTAGAGGAAATGACAGGGACAAAGACAGTCTATTTAGCATGGGTGCTTCACGAACAAGGGAACATAAATGGAGAGGAAGTACACTAATGAATCATAGACATAGTTTAAGAAGACGTGACAAAGACATAGAAATAGCATAACAATTTATAGAAACTTGTTACAGGACTCTTGTATGTTACAGAGGACAAGTGGAAAATAGGGGAAACCTCATTCTTTTAAAGTTTTCCCGTGTGAGAAGGGGTTACCGAGACCGATAAACTCCAAACTGGACTTAAAATCGAGTTGGTAGTGCTAAAGATAGTTAGCATGATCGTCACTGCTATTTATCCTGCTGAGGGAGGCATGTAAGCAGACGAAAAACTTGTCCGACAAGGAAGCAAAACTCGCCGGGAAAAATCTCACTGTCCGCTAGGCAGCCCAGCCTCCAGGCATGAGCTTATAAAATACCGGTAATTGTATTATATACTAGCATTGTATATACAACCTGTCCTCATCAACAGACGCCGAATGCTTGTTAATTCAGTCGCCAAACTACCTGTTTATAAATGAAAAACGGTTTATACACGACTCAAAACTGATCACTTTCTAATATTTATCCAACCCGTCCTCGACTCAAATCCACAAGCCGTCCTCAACTCAAGTCCATTCCATCCAGCGGTCGACCCCACAGACGCATTCATAAATTTTTACATGTTGTTTATTCAAAGGGGGAATTTTCTCAAATATAAATTAATATTCTAATATATTAACATATTGTGCATATGTACATATATAGGTTAGGTTAGGTGTTTAGGTTCTGTTGGCGATTATTTGTATTTGTAGTACGTGGGTGAAGCATTTATAGCGTTGTGGTTCGAAATAAATTCGTCAGTGAAACACTTGTTCCGGAAGTGTTCGAACATCATTAGTTGTGAGTCGTGTGTAAACCGTTTTTCATTTATAAACAGGGGGTTTGGCGGGTGCATGGAATCACTTTTGGGTCTTTGTTTGGAGGACGGGCTGCATTTATCGGACAGTGTTCGAATGCAACCCGTTCTCGCACTTGCGTATAGTCAATATTGGCTTATTTAATAAGTGCATATGTGACATACTAATTGATTGTAAATATTTTAGTTTACCTTGAAAAGCTTCCTAGAAAACACCGACCTTGCCTAACCTTCTTAGTATGTTAAGATAAGCATCTTATTGCTTCTTAATTACAATTATTACTTAACATATACCGTTGATAAGTTAAGTAATAATTGCAAAATCACAACTGAGGCTGACGACCTCTGTTGGAATCACAAGACTGTAAAAGCTTCACCAACAAACTACACATACAACAACCCGTCCTCATCAACAAAGGCCAAATGTTCCATGCCACACCGACTGTGTATGAATGAAAAACAGTTTCCGCTCAGCTCACAACTGATGACATTCCAACATTTAATCGCAACTCTATATATATTTCACCCTCGTACCACAGATACAGTTAATTATCAACAGAACCTAAACACCTAACTTAATATACATCTAACTATACAAAGAACCTCAGTATATATTAATTTATATATGAGGACAAACTTATTTTAATACATAATACGTACAAACTGATGAATGCATCTTGTGGGACGACCGCCGCTTTAACAAACCTGGCCTGAGGACAGGCTGAAATACGAATAATCGCCAACATAACCTAAACACCTAACCTATGCATAACTAAACACATAACTTAAATATACAATAATATTAATTTATAAATGAGAACATATTTTTAATACACAATACATTAAAATTAATGGATGCGTGTTGAGAGTGAGTGAGTATCAGGGGAAAGCGCCAAGCCATTACGGCCATATATACGGCTTGGAAGGGGTCAGGATAAGGATTTGGGATGGGACGGGGGGAAGGAATGGTGCCTAATAACTTGGACGGTCAGGGACTGAACGCCGACCTGCATGTAGCGAGACCGGCGCTCTACCATTCAGCCCAAGTGGCTGGGCATGCGTGTTGAGAGAAGGCCGCTGCTTTAACGAGCTTGACCTGAGGGGCCTGAGGGGGGAGAAGCAGCTATACCCATCCTCAGGCTTTGTATGCCACAACTAGGGACGATCCCAACGCCAAAAACTATTTTATATAATACAGATAAATATTAATGGTCACCACGTCTTGTGCAATTATAGAGAGCCAAAGTCTCGGAGAAGAGAATGTAAGGTATTCAGAGAAGGCCTTACAGATTCTTTCTGAAAACTTGTTGAGTATTTTCTTCTACCACCCCTGTTTTTTGTATTAGTTTATACAATATGATTATTATTTATTTATTTTATTACATTGTTACAGTTTATAGAAAACACACACATATATATATAGCAATAATTGCTCGAAAACCTCATTCTGCTCTGCAGAAGTTGGGTGCGTGCTCAAGATACAGCACGCATTTACCCTCTGCATCACGACACTGAGGCGTTGGAACAGGAAACTGGCCGCTCTTGAGTCTCTGGTTTGGTTAATGACTTCCTCACCCACCTCCTTCAGGAGCGTAAGTGTACATGTACCCCAGGCACCCGGCGTCTCGGAACCTTTAGGCACGAACCTGTAACAATGTTCTAGGCCTCTGAACTTACATTAATTTTGTATATGGTTACGACTAGAATATGAAAAGTGTTTTGGCCCTGTTGGCAATTATTTGTATTTGAAGTACACGTGAGAAGATTTAGAGTGGGTAGATTCGAACACAGAAAGAAACCGAAGCAGTGTTCGATGAAAGTGTGAATGTAATCAATTGTGGGCATGTCATGTGTCAAGTGTTTGTATTCATAAACTGGGGGTTTGACACCAGGAGTAAGGAGGGGTTTGACACAAGGACTAAGGAGGGGTTTGACACCAGGACTAAGGAGGGGTTTGACACCAGGAGTAAGGAGGGGTTTGACACAAGGACTAAGGAGGGGTTTGACACCAGGACTAAGGAGGGGTTTGACACCAGGACTATGGAGGGGTTTGACACCAGGACTAAGGAGGGGTTTGACACCAGGACTAAGGAGGGGTTTGACACCAGGACTATGGAGGGGTTTGACACCAGGACTAAGGAGGGGTTTGACACCAGGACTAAGGAGGGGTTTGACACCAGGACTAAGGAGGGGTTTGACACCAGGACTATGGAGGGGTTTGACACCAGGACTAAGGAGGGGTTTGACACCAGGACTAAGGAGGGGTTTGACACCAGGACTAAGGAGGGGTTTGACACCAGGACTAAGGAGGGGTTTGACACCAGGACTAAGGAGGGGTTTGACACCAGGACTAAGGAGGGGTTTGACACCAGGAGTAAGGAGGGGTTTGACACAAGGACTAAGGAGGGGTTTGACACCAGGAGTAAGGAGGGGTTTGACACCAGGACTAAGGAGGGGTTTGACACCAGGAGTAAGGAGGGGTTTGACACCAGGAGTAAGGAGGAGTTTGACACCAGGAGTAAGGAGGGGTTTGACACCAGGAGTAAGTAGGGGTTTGACACCAGGAGTAAGGAGGGGTTTGACACCAGGAGTAAGTAGGGGTTTGACACTAGGAGTAAGGAGGGGTTTGACACCAGGAGTAAGGAGGGGTTTGACACCAGGAGTAAGGAACATTTGGCCAATATTATGATGATGAGGTGACCCAGCTGAGGATGTGGTGACAGGTGTGGCGAGCACCAGCCCGTGCTCAAACATACTGATTGATTAATGTACATCACAAATGTACAGTTTATAAGCTCAGCAGTTAACTTACACATTGGTGCGATCAAAACATTTTAAGATGGACAGCCTCTCTTTCGAATAGACAGTACGTTTTAATACTAAATGTAATAAGTACAATCCTGACTATCGACATAGTACATAAATACACTTAATCGCGAGCATCGCACCAAAATACTGTGAATATTAGAGTTTACCTGAAAAGCTGTACAGAAAACCACGACCTAACCTAACCTTCTTAGTGTAGGAGGACAAGCATGTAAATAGCATTTATTTTTCTTAATTACAATTAGTACTTAACGTATAGCTATATTGATATTACAATTTTATAAACTAATAAAACAAAACTAAAGTCTTTCAATAAATTATAAAGTAACTCAGGATATTTTCAAATTTTGTATAAAATCTCAATTTTTAATAAAAGTGGAAATGAAATTCTTTATATTTAAAACTTGTGTATATAGAACTGAACATGAAAACTTCCTCCTAAAATTTTAAGTGTTTTAACAAAATGAGGAGAATATTTGGGGAGGTAAATGTAATGGCACAATTGTGTGTATTTACGTACTATGCACTTTGTCAGGAGTGTGCTTATTACATTTAGTATTAAAACGTACTGTCTATTCGATGGAAGGCTTGAAGATGGATTACAAGTACAGAAACTCACGAAAAGGTCAGGAATTAAATTTAAATTTTGCCCTTTCTAGATTACCATCGAGGAGACTATCAAGAAAGGGAAGGAAACTCTCAGGGGAATGCGCCAAGCCATTACGACTATTTAGCACTTGGAAGGGGTCAACAGGATAATGATTTGGGATGGGACGGGGGGGGGGGGGGAGAAATGGTGCCCAACCACTTGGACGGTCGGGGATCGAACGCCGACCTGCATGAAGCAAGACCGTCGCTCTACCGTCCACCCGAAGCGGTTGGACTATCAGGGCATGATAGAGGAATTGCCTAGCACTTCCCGGAGGGAGCTGATAGGTGACCATGGCATGGAAACCTCATGGGTATGAGGTTTCTCATAAAACCTCAAAATATGACTTATTGTCATATTTTTTTCCGAGTTCATAGAGAATGGACTCGGTTTAGATTTTAAACCTCCAAATTGTTTGGTATTTTAAAAGTTTCCATGAAATCTAACATTCCAATTTCTGAAGGCCATACATGGACATCTTCAAGTATCAAAGAAAACGTGATTGGCAATAAAGCACCCGAGGCGATGGCTCAGTATCACAACAAACACAGGCCTACACCAGCTGCAGGAACGGCGGCGGGTTCATACAAACTGCACCTATCATCAAGAAGGAACGGCGGCTGCTCTCTGCACGGTCGACAGACCATGTTTGACCAAGATCTTGACTAAAGGTCACCTGAGCAGTACTGTCGTCAGCTCCCAACCCTGAGCCCCTCACAGGGCACATTTACATGACATCACGTGCTGTCATCTTGAGTCGAGGAAGCAAGAAGAAAAAGAAGCACTGTGAGCAGAAATCTTTTAAGATATTTAAGTATTGTATACTTGCTAATAAACCTTTTAAATAGTTTGTTGAAAATAATTTAGGAAAAAACTTGTTACCGAGTTTAAATTGTGAAATAAAGGAATACAGTCATATCTTAATAAGTCATTTAATTAATTGTGTTGGGGACAGACAGACTGTGTGTTTACTCAGCTAGTTGTATTTCAAACCTGTACCCCTCTAGTTGTGCTCGTGGGGGTCGAGTTCTGCTCTTTCGGCCTGCCTCTCGACTGTCAATTAACTGTTACTAACTACTAACAAATTTTTTTTCTCCCCCCCAGGAAGCAGCCTGTAACAGCTGTCTAACTCTTAGGTACTTATTTATGTACGCCCCTGTTATGTAACAGGGGCACTGATTATGCCCCTGTTAGGTAACAGGGGCATCAGGGTGAACGAAACTCTGCCCATTTTTGTTTCTCACCAGCGCAGGGAATCGAACCCAGGCCACAGGATTACGTGTCCAGTGTGCTATATACACAGCCAGCGGTACCCCCAAGTTTCCTTGAATGTGTGTGTGTGTGTGTTTTTTGTGTTTATGAAATTGAAAGAAAACTTGAATGGTCTCCCAAGCTATAAATCACTAAGAATGGTATGACCCTTGAATGTATTCAAGTACTTCCAGACATTTTTCTAAGCTAAGACAAAGATCAAAGCAAAGTCTTAGTGAAATAATAGTCATTCTCTAAACAGAACTTTGAAGGCATATGCATTTTGAAAATAACACTGTCAAAGGACAAAAAATAATATTTCATTATAATTTATTTTATTGAGGGAACAGATAGCTTGTGTATGTATGTGTGTTAGGCTAGTATCGAGGTCCTCTTCTAAGATCAAACTATTGACCCTACCAAAGATGCAACTCCACAACAGTTGACTATCTCCATTTTTTAATTTAATTTATTTATTATGCACTCCATACCCAGTGTAATTACTAAGTGTAATTACCTAAGTGTAGTTACAGGATGAGAGCTACGCTCGTGGTGTCCCGTCTACCCAGCACTCTTTGTCATATAACGCTTTGAAACTACTGATGGTCTTGGCCTCCACTACCTTCTCACTTAACTTGTTCCAACCGTCTACCACTCTATTTGCGAAGGTGAATTTTCTTATATTTCTTCGGCATCTGTGTTTAGCTAGTTTAAATCTATGACCTCTTGTTCTTGAAGTTCCAGGTCTCAGGAAATCTTCCCTGTCAATTTTATCAATTCCTGTTACTATTTTGTACGTAGTGATCATATCACCTCTTTTTCTTCTGTCTTCTAGTTTTGGCATATTTAATGCTTCTAACCTCTCCTTGTAGCTCTTGCCCTTCAGTTCTGGGAGCCACTTAGTAGCATGTCTTTGCACCTTTTCCAGTTTGTTGATGTGCTTCTTAAGATATGGGCACCACACAACAGCTGCATATTCTAGCTTTGGCCTAACAAAAGTCATGAACAATTTCTTTAGTATATCGCCATCCATGTATTTAAATGCAATTCTGAAGTTAGAAAGCATTGCATAGGCTCCTTGCACAATATTCTTAATGTGGTCCTCAGGTGATAGTTTTCTATCTAGAACCACTCCTAGATCTCTTTCTTTATCAGAATTCTTTAAAGATTTCTCACATAATATATAGGTTGTGTGGGGTCTATGTTCTCCTATTCCACATTCCATAACATGACATTTATTAACATTAAATTCCATTTGCCAAGTGGTGCTCCATATACTTATTTTGTCCAGGTCTTCTTGAAGGGCATGACAATCATCTAAATTTCTTATCCTTCCTATTATCTTAGCATCATCAGCAAACATGTTCATATAATTCTGTATACCAACTGGTAGATCATTTATGTACACAATAAACATCACTGGTGCAAGAACTGAACCCTGTGGTACTCCACTTGTGACATTTCTCCATTCCGATACATTGCCTCTGATTACTGCCCTCATTTTTCTATCAGTCAGAAAATTTTTCATCCATGATAGAAGCTTACCTGTCACCCCTCCAATATTTTCCAGTTTCCAGAACAACCTCTTATGTGGAACTCTGTCGAAAGCCTTTTTTAGGTCCAGATAGATGCAGTCAACCCAGCCATCTCTTTCCTGTAATATCTCTGTGGCCCGATCATAGAAACTGAGTAAATTCGATACACAGGATCTTCCTGATCGAAAACCATACTGTCTGTCTGATATTATATCATTTCTCTCCAGGTGTTCTACCCATTTAGTTTTGATTAGCTTTTCCAATACTTTCACTATTACACTTGTCAATGATACAGGTCTATAATTGAGGGGGTCTTCCCTGCTGCCACTTTTGTAGATTGGAACTATGTTAGCCTGTTTCCACACGTCTGCTACGATTCCTGTACACAGGGATGCCTGAAAGATCAGGTGAAGTGGAATGCTGAGCTCAGATGCACATTCTCTCAGAACCCATGGTGAAACGCCATCTGGGCCAGCTGCTTTGTTCCTCCCGAGCTCCTTTAGCATATTTTCCACTTCATCTCTAGACACCTCTATCCGCTCTATGTTGTTCTCTGGAATTCTTATTGTGTCTGGTTCTCTGAAGATTTCATTTTGTACAAACACACTTTGGAACTTTTCATTTAATGTTTCACACATTTCCTTTTCATTTTCCGTGAATCTGTTTCCCATTTTCAACCTCTGGATATTATCCTTTACCTGCAATTTGTTGTTTATGAATTTGTAGAATAGGCCCGGTTCTGTTTTACATTTATCTGCTATCCCTTTTTCAAAATTTCTTTCTGCCTCTCTCCTTACTGCTGTATAATTGTTTCTCGCATCTTTGTATCGCTGGTATGTTTGGGGGTTTGGCCTCTTCCTATACTGATTCCATTTTTGTGTCTTTTGGTCTCTTGCCCTCTCACAATTTCTGTCGAACCAATCCTGTTTTCTGGTCCTGCATCTCTGTTTTGGTATGAATGTTTGTGTGCCTTCCTCGTATAGTTTTAAAAATTTGGCATACATTTCATTTACTTCCCTGCCTAGCAACAATTCTGTCCAATTACACTCATTAAAAAAATTTCGAAGTTCCCCATAGTTGCCTCTCTTTAAATCGAGTTTATCAACTGTTTCAATGTCCCCATTTTCTTCTAGATGATATCTTAAAGCATATTTAATGTCTAACAGGACGTGATCACTCTTTCCCAAGGGAGGAAGGTACTGGATGTCAAAAATCTCTTCTTCTTTCCTGGTGAATACTAGATCCAGTACTGACGGTATATCTCCTTCCCTCATTCTTGTGGCTTGCTTTATGTGTTGATACAAGAATGTCTCCAGAATGAGGTTCACAAATCTGCATGTCCAAAAGTCCTCCGTTCTTGCTTCATAGGCCTCCCAGTCTATTGCTCTAAAGTTGAAGTCCCCCAGTATCAACAGTCGTGATTTATCTTTATCTGCTTGTACAATAATATCTCTCATAACCATTATGTGTGTGTAATTACCTAAGTGTAATTACCTAAGTGTAGTTACAGGATGAGAGCTACGCTCGTGGTGTCCCGTCTTCCCAGCACTCTTTGTCATATAACGCTTTGAAACTACTGACGGTCTTGGCCTCCACCACCTTCTCACTTAACTTGTTCCAACCGTCTACCACTCTATTTGCGAAGGTGAATTTTCTTATATTTCTTCGGCATCTGTGTTTAGCTAGTTTAAATCTATGACCTCTTGTTCTTGAAGTTCCAGGTCTCAGGAAGTCTTCCCTGTCGATTTTATCAATTCCTGTTACTATTTTGTATGTAGTGATCATATCACCTCTTTTTCTTCTGTCTTCTAGTTTTGGCATATTTAATGCTTCTAACCTCTCCTCGTAGCTCTTGCCCTTCAGTTCTGGGAGCCACTTAGTAGCATGTCTTTGCACCTTTTCCAGTTTGTTGATGTGCTTCTTAAGATATGGGCACCACACAACAGCTGCATATTCTAGCTTTGGCCTAACAAAAGTCATGAACAATTTCTTTAGTATATCGCCATCCATGTATTTAAATGCAATTCTGAAGTTAGAAAGCATAGCATAGGCTCCTTGCACAATATTCTTTATGTGGTCCTCAGGTGATAGTTTTCTATCTAGAACCACTCCTAGATCTCTTTCTTTATCAGAATTCTTTAAAGATTTCTCACATAATATATAGGTTGTGTGGGGTCTATGTTCTCCTATTCCACATTCCATAACATGACATTTATTAACATTAAATTCCATTTGCCAAGTGGTGCTCCATATACTTATTTTGTCCAGGTCTTCTTGAAGGGCATGACAGTCATCTAAATTTCTTATCCTTCCTATTATCTTAGCATCATCAGCAAACATGTTCATATAATTCTGTATACCAACTGGTAGATCATTTATGTACACAATAAACATCACTGGTGCAAGAACTGAACCCTGTGGTACTCCACTTGTGACATTTCTCCATTCTGATACATTGCCTCTGATTACTGCCCTCATTTTTCTATCAGTCAGAAAATTTTTCATCCATGATAGAAGCTTACCTGTCACCCCTCCAATATTTTCCAGTTTCCAGAACAACCTCTTATGTGGAACTCTGTCGAAAGCCTTTTTTAGGTCCAGATAGATGCAGTCAACCCAACCATCTCTTTCCTGTAATATCTCTGTGGCTCGATCATAGAAACTGAGTAAATTCGATACACAGGATCTTCCAGATCGAAAACCATACTGTCTGTCTGATATTATATCATTTCTCTCTAGGTGTTCTACCCATTTAGTTTTGATTAGTTTTTCCAATACTTTCACTATTACACTTGTCAATGATACAGGTCTATAATTGAGGGGGTCTTCCCTGCTGCCACTTTTGTAGATTGGAACTATGTTAGCCTGTTTCCACCCGTCTGCTACGATTCCTGTACACAGGGATGCCTGAAAGATCAGGTGAAGTGGAATGCTGAGCTCAGATGCACATTCTCTCAGAACCCATGGTGAAACGCCATCTGGGCCAGCTGCTTTGTTCTTACCGAGCTCCTTGAGCATTTTTTCCACTTCGTCTCTAGACACCTCTATGTGTTCTATGTTGTTCTCTGGAATTCTTATTGTATCTGGTTCCCTAAAGATTTCATTTTGTACAAACACACTTTGGAACTTTTCGTTTAGTGTTTCACACATTTCCTTTTCATCTTCCGTGAATCTATTTCCCATTTTCAACCTCTGAATATTATCCTTTACCTGCAATTTGTTGTTTATGAATTTATAGAATAGACCTGGTTCTGTTTTACATTTGTCCGCAATCCCTTTTTCAAAATTTCTTTCTGCCTCTCTCCTCACTGCCGTGTAGTTGTTTCTCGCATCTTTGTATCGCTGGTATGTTTGGGGGTTCGGCCTCTTCCTGTATTGATTCCATTTTTGTGTCTTTCGGTCTCTAGCCCTCTCGCAATTTCTATTGAACCAATCCTGTTTCCTAGTTCTGCATCTCTGTTTTGGTATAAATTTTTTTGTGCCTTTATCATATATTTCACAAAACTTGCCATACATCTCATTCACTTCCTTGCCTAGCATCAAGTCTGTCCAATTATACTCACTAAAAAAATTTCTAAGGTCACCATAATGTCCTCTCCTGAAGTCTGGTTTTTCAACTGCTTCAACCTCCTTATTTTCTTCCAGCTTATAACGCATTGCATACTTTATTCCCAAAAAGACATGGTCACTTTTACCCAAGGGAGGAAGGTACTGAATGTCAAATATCTCTTCCTCCTTCCTGGTAAATATCAAATCTAGCATGGAGGGAACGTCCCCTTCCCTCATCCTCGTAGCTTGTTTAACATGTTGATACAAGAATGTTTCCAGGATGAGGTCTACAAATTTACAGGTCCAAAAATCTTCTGTTTTAGCTTCATATGCTTCCCAGTCTATGGATTTCAAGTTGAAGTCACCGACTATCAACAGTCGTGATCTATCGTTATCCGCTCTCGCTATAATCTCTCTCATTATTGTTATAAGACCTTCACGTTTACTATCTAGCTCCTCCTTTGACCATGTGCTGCTTGGCGGTGGACTATATGCATTTATCATCATTAGTTTATCATCCTCATAGCAGATCTCTAGTGCTATTATGTCAACTTCTTGTGGATTGGCAGTCATTATTTCCTTCACCTTTAGGTGTTCTTTTACCAGCACAGCAACGCCACCGCCTTTCCTAATTTTTCTGTCCCGTCTCCAAATTGAGTAGCCCCTTGGGAATATGACCTCATTTAAAATTACATCTTCAAGTTTTGTCTCCGTGAGTGCAACAATGTCTGGTGTCTGCAGCTGTATTACATCACTTAACTCCAGTATCTTCGATCTCACTCCATCTATGTTGGTGTATGCAATCTTCAGGAACTTGTTCCCCCTCTCCTTATTCTTCACTCCCCCTCTCTCTATTGATTTTGTTGGTTTGCCTTTATGTACCACTTTACTGGTTTGCCTACCCCTATCACTTTGTAGAAAAAAGAATTTATTTCTTCTTCATTCCTGCTCTCATTTAAATGTTTTGCCTCGGCGAGGTTCAGTTTCAGCTTCTCTCTATCTTCTTTTGAAAGATCTCGTCTTAATGACCACCCTTTCCCATCCTCATCCCTTTGCAATTTTCTAGCATTCCTTAGTACTTCTTCCATCTGTTTGGCACCGTTTAGGGTGATCCTCAAAGGTCGATCTTTCCCTTTTACGTACCTGCCTATTCTCCTGTAGTCGCACACATTCTCTCTGTTTGTAAGACCTTCCACGAGGCCAACAATTTTATCTACTACTTTAGCTTCTTCTACAGCTCTTTCTGACCTAGATGTTATCGCCTTTTCTTTGCAGCCAAAAATGATCAGGGACTTACTCCGATCAACTGTGTTTTGCACCAACTTCGGGTTAGATGCCAATTCTTTCCTCACTTCTAGCCTAATGTTTGTTTTATCTTGGTTGCTGCAGTGTTTGACTTCCTTTACTGCTTCTTCTATTTTTTCCTTCTCCTTGGCCACTTGTGCATAAGTGAGTTGCATATCTTTCTTGCACTGTTCTATTCCCTGTGTAACTTCCTCCATCTGTGCTGACAAAAGCTGTTTCTCCTGTTGAATTTCCTTGCCTAACCTATTGTAGTCATTTATGTTTAAATTTACTTTAACTTCTTCCAAAGCTATTTTTAAGAGTTTATTTTCTTCTTCCATGGCTTTGTGTGTGTGTGTGTGTGTGTGTGTGTGTGTGTGTGTGTGTGTGTGTAATTACCTAAGTGTAATTACCTAAGTGTAGTTACAGGATGAGAGCTACGCTCGTGGTGTCCCGTCTTCCCAGCACTCTTTGTCATATAACGCTTTGTGTGTGTGTGTGTGTGTGTGTGTGTGTGTGTGTGTGTGTGTGTGTGTGTGTATATAATATATTATATATATATACATACATACACACACATGTCCATATCAATAATCTTTATGAATCCTTTTATATCATAAGTGATTCAAGAGGAGGCTCACAACATTCTCTATACAAGAAAGTTTACATCTATTTGCTGCTAGGTGAACAGAGGTATTAGGTGAAAGAAAATGTGCCCAATCATTTCTGTCCTGCCCAGGATTCGAACCCCAGATATCCGCTTGTGAGTTGGGAATGAACCTAACTCTACTAAAAGTACCAGTAATCATTTGATATGAGTATTGAGTAGTTTGTGTTCTTTGGTGCCCTAGTGAGCCGTTTCTCTCAGTGGTAGATTGAGGTACTATATGCACTTTACTGCCTACCCTCTCTGTATTATAGGACAAGACCTTTGCAAAGCATATTGTGTCAGTGAAGCAGAAAATTTATTATGTACTAGGGGTACTAGCAATGTTTGGTGGCTCCATGGCTATGGTTTAAGACATCAACTAAGATGAGTCCCTGACCAAAAACATATGCATACACACAGCCATAAAAAAAAGAGCCAAAACAACATTAATTGCTAATTAATTGCAGATAATAAAATGGAAGCAATGAACTCTGCAGTGTCCAAGTTAGATGATGAAAGTCTGACTATAAGCCCAGCAGCAGCTATCAATGATGATGACGATATTAGTGGTGCCTTAGCATATCTGGATCTTGGGTAAGAAGAATATTTGAAATTAAAAATAATATAATATTCATGTTATTAAAGTTATTCAAACACGTTATTATTTATTAAAGACACTATATCTTTGTGTTACTGTATTGAATACACATCTGACCACATGCTTTCCGGACACTTTGGGATTTGCATGAAAGAATAACCTGCTGCGCCTGGATAAGTAGTTTGTCATCCTGAAAATGTATGGGAAAAGCTTGACAATTTTATGAGAAAAAACAGGTATTTTGCTTTTACTCGTCAATGAGATGTTCTGAGCTGCTTATGAAGCTGAATATTATTTTTGATGGTGCAGCATTATTTAGATGGTATAGGTAGTGGTGGATACTGATGGGGTTAGGTTGACTAAAGTGGAGAATGATGGTGATGGGGTACTTTTAGATGTTGTAGTGCTTGGGTCATTATGTGATGAACTAGGTGCAAGTGGTTCAATGCAAGTCTTCTTGGAAGCCTTTGTACCACTCCCACATAGCATTATTAACACTGCATCTTAGCTTACCTTACTGCTTTTCTATTATGTACTGTTAAATTACATTCACTTCTAGAACAATAGTCAAAGATGGTAGATTTATCCTTAATAATGTCTGAAAGCACAGTCTTTCTCACTTGATGTTCAGTGCACACAACACTTCTTCTCAAATGTCAACACTGTCCTCTTTCTGTTAGTTTTCCTGCATGTAGAAGCTTTGACAAAATGCCTGCATTTGGAGCTGATATGATACACAGCTATTCCTAAGTTTTGAGGATACTGAATATTCAACAAAATCACAGTAATGAATGCTCCAGTGTCTCATCACAAATCAAAACAATGGACCATGGACCTATTATTTCACATGAGTAGCAAAAGCACTCATGTGGACTCATCTCCCATCCACTTGCATTCCCCATCACAGGTTTATAAAAAAATTTTTACAAAGAAAAACCCTAGCCCATCAAGAGAGCCTGCAGAGTTAAAATTACCTACCATAAGTGAGAGAATTTTGTCTATTAGCACAGTTTTCGGCGTGAAGGCATTGAGTAGATCTAGACAACACATGAAGTTTCAAGCTAAACTTTCTAATATGCTGCACTCACCTGAGGTCTATAGAAGAAGAACGAATTCTGATTATGTATATTGGTTCTACAAGGTAGCCAACTCCATCAAAATATTAAATATGTACCCAACTCAACTAATGATTAATCAACCAACTACTCCATGGGATAACTGGGATCTATCAGTTGATTTTGTAAATGCGCCCAAGAAAGATAGTGTGCACACCACATTATTAAAACAGTTAACACTGAAAAGCATCACTGAAAGTACTCAGAGTATGGGTAACGATGTTTATCAGTGCTATACCGACGGCTCTGTAGAAGAAGGTGGACGATGTACCGGATGTGCATGTAACATATTTGAACAATCTTCTCTCGTACATACAGCAATGAAGCGCGTCAATGACTGGGCAAGTACAACTCAAACCGAACTTGCAGGCATATACCTTGCCACTGAATTTTTAAAAGACAAAGGCAGTGGACTTATATACTGTGACTCGCAGAGTGCGCTCCTGGCACTGAATGCACATAGTAGTGACACCCAGAAAATAGTCAGTGATATTCGAATGAATGTTTTAGCTGCTAAAGAAAACAGATTTGAGATTAAATTCCTATGGATACCATCACATGTTGGCATCTCAAGGCATGACACTGTTGATATGCTTGCTAAGACAGCCTGCAGAAAACCAGTGGTAGAAATTGATATGGGTGTTTCATTAGCAGTGACAAAGAGAATACTTAAACAAATACCTAATGAAAATCTCACCGACCTAACAAATTCACAAAGACCTGAAAGTTGTAGCATTAAATATTATGATAGATATCGTGAGGAGACATTCACATATGGGACTAATAGAACAAGAACCCGGCAATGTGATGTTATAGTGGCCAGAATACGCCTGGGATATAGACGTATCTGGCAGCTTTCTCAAAACCCAAATGTCGAGTACACAATGTGTCAACTTTGTGAAAGAGAAAACATGCACTCTCTTGAACATTATATTGTAGAATGTCCCATACTGACTGACTTTCGCCCTCCTGGGCTAAGGTATGCTGAACTCTGTAATTACTATATGAGTACTGGAACACTTGATGATATATTGGACTTGTATCCAAGATTGACCATGTAATATATCACTTATTCAATGTTATATTCAATATATCATTTATTCAATGTTATATGATGTAACTATATAACCTGAGCTTGTAAAAGCACCTTCATCACCTTCAGTGATTAAGTGCTTAATTGCACACTAGTTTCTTTATCAGCTATCTCACCCTGTCAGAGTAAATGAGACAGATGTATGTGAATGCATGTGTGTGTATATGTATGTATATGTATGGGTATAAAGTATATATGGAAGCTGATCAGAATTACATTTCACCTTTGTGAATGTACATTAATGACACTATGTAAAAGACACATCAAACACTTTATGTAGGGCATACGTAAATCTGTGTATCTATGTATTTACGTATGTAGGTTAGCTTAGCATTTTAAAAGCACCGAATCACCTTCTGTGGTTGAGTGTTCAATAAACCCCTGAACTCTATGTTTAACATTTCTCTAACCCTGTCCATGGAGGACAGAAGAAAATGTATATATGCTGGTTAGCATTGTAAATGTGTGGCCACGTCTGTGGTAGAAAATAATAAAAAAAAAAAAAAAAAAAGAGAGCCTGCAATTTCCCCATCTCCTCTGCTTTGCACATTAACTTGAGATTGCTGCAGTGACTTTGTTTCCTACTCCATTTGGGCATAAATAAACTCCACAATTCTTTTGTACCTTTACGATCAACTTCTTGAGCTGAAGGATAACTTTTTTTTGGCAGGTACTTAATTTTTGGTTTTCAAAATTTTCTTTACATTCATATTTGCAGCAGGATAACCTTGTTTATTTACACAAATACATTTTTTGCAAAGGCTTTCTTGTGGTGTCAATGAACACAATGAAAATGTGAATAAAATAAGTTAGGAAACCCTGACTAGGCAATGGTGCTGCCACTTGATGCTGGGAAGCTGGGTTTACTAGGTTAGTCACTTGTGATATGAAGTGAGCTCATTATGAACTGGATAGAGCTTCTTTTTAGTTCCTCCATACCACATTATATCACCCTGCTGAAACTTTGGAGAAGATTCATTAGGATCTGAATGTCATGGCTCAGAACAGTTTAAATAACTTTTTGGAAAAGCCATGTTTTGAATTGAGAGTTTATAAAAACCCCGCGTTAAATGTAATAAAACGCTATTTTCTGGGTGAGACCCGTAGGCTCCCCACAGCTATCCAGGCTGATATGTATATTATTAGACTTTGGTATAAGTCAGTGTGAATGGAGTTCTAGGCCTACCAGGGACCACAAGCCAGAACCTGGCCCCCTCAGGGAAGCATGAAGAGCAATGGCCTATAGAAGTGCACATGTGATTTGGAGCATTCTATGTCTGCCATTGACCGGGCTAGGCACCCAGAAAGGTAAGCGCCTCAAAACAAACCCCTATGCTGGTTAAAATTACTACAGAACACTAACGAGTGGACAGAACTCCCCAAATGAAAATGAGCAAACGAGCATGACGTCTCACATGCCGCGCCGCTTGTCTGTGCAGTTCCCCTTTCCCCGGGAGGGGGAAAGGGGAGCCCCAGATCCTTTGCGCCGGCTATCCACACCCCAGTTCAAGGCTGGATGTCAAAACACACGTAAAACCACCGATTGGAGGGAGAGATGGTTGCCGAGGAGCCTCCAAGTCTCGCACAGAAAATGGTGCTTCATTACATTCAACGCTAGTTTTCTGGGGGGAAGGGGGGAGCCCCTTTGGCTCCCCAGAACTACATTACAAAAGACGAAAACAAGAGGGACTTATCCGGGAGGTGGGCGGCACTCGCTCCTCAACTCAAAGTCGAGACAACAGGCTGCAACCGTCGACCCAAAGTGACACAGGCCCGACTAGGCCCAGGAACATTTACGAGGTAGCGTGCAGCCACGACCTTGTTCGACTTCCAAAAACCCCGCTCCCGAATGTCAGCCCAAGACATGATATCGAAGATGACAGCAAGTGCAGCAAACTTACGAACATCATGGGCACAAAGATAGACCGCAGGCTGGCTGGACCGAATAACCCTGCGGACAACCTGAGAGACCCGAATCCTGGAACAGGGAAGAATGGAAACCGGATCAACCCAAAGCGCGTCCCCGGTCACAGAGGCCGTGGCGCGCAAATAACGGTAGAGAGCCGCAGCCGGACACAACACATGGTGCACCCCCGACCTGACCAACCAAGCCTCAACAATCTAAGGACCCCTCCGTAACGCAGCGGTCTCATTCTTTACCAGAAAAGAAGGAGACGGCTGCAAATGAACTAACCTATCACCTTGACCAAAAGAGCAGAAACCTCTGTGCCGGAGGAGACCATGAAGCTCCACGACTTGACCCCCACAGGCTAATGCCAACAAGAAAAGAGCTTTGGAAAAACAATCCTGAACCAAAGGGGCCGCAACAAACCGAGGAGAAGATAGATAAGAGAGAACCCAATCCAAGGCCGACTCGTTCCGTTGGCTCTGCCGGACGTACAGGCTCCTGGAGGTTGACCTCTTCGCATTGGTATGGTCTCAGCGTCTCCCGATATAGATGGCGCCCCTCCCTGACTGTGGAGCCATCGCTGTGGATACCTTTCGGCAGGACTGGTTGAGGTTGGGTTACCTATACCTCTTGACCCTGGTTCAGCTGTTGCTTGGGGTTCTGGCTCTTTTGGAGTCTTACTGCAGGAGTCATCCTTGTGGCCACTTAGGGGCCGGCTCAGACTTTGTTTCAGGTGCTGCTTGCTCTTTATCTGAACTAGGGGCGTTTTCTGCTGCTGTGCCTCTTTCAGCAGATCGGATCAGTCTGGTACATAGCTGGTTCAGTCTACTCCTCTGCTCTTTTCGTCTGGTCTTTTTGACACTGGTGGATCACTACTTGAATGGTGATCAGGAGGCTGTGTTGATGGTGTCCAATCTGTGTGCTTCGTCTCGGCGACAGTATGAAGTTTCCTGGTGTTCTTTTCGTCCTTTTCTCTCTCTTTGTAGGTTGTCTTCTATTTCCGATTGGGTTGTTTTGTCCTTTCATTCTTGGCTCTTTCAGGACCGCCATCTTATGCCTAATACTGTTGCCTCTTATCGTGTGGCACTGGCGGAGCCGCTCTAGCTTGCGTTCGGAGTGGATGTCACTTCGGCCCTGTTTCGCAAGCTTTCTCATGCACCATCTGAACTGTCCTGGTCCTTGGACCGGCTGCTCTCTCTTCTCTTTTCCCATTATCTGGTCAATATTCCTGGTCCTGGTAGTTGGTGTGTGATTTTGAGTCGCAGGTTGCAGTTCATCTTTCAGTAGCAATTTCTTAACCAGAATACGGGGTTTGTTTTGGGGCGCTTACCTTTCTGGGTGCCTGATTCGGTCGATGGCAGACATAGAATGCTTACAGCCACACAGGGTTTCTATAGGCCATTGTTCCTTGTGCCTCTCTGAAGGGGCTCGTGGTCCCCGGTAGGCCTAGAACTCCATTCACATTGACTGGTGTCAAAGTCTAAATATATCCATACCAGCCTGGATAGCACCGGGGAGCCTCTGGGTCTCACCCAAAAAATGGTGTTTCATTACATTCAACGCTGTTTTTGTTTTTGTTTTTTTAACACATAAAATAACTTGCAGGGAACCAGCGTATAATTCAAAGAGGACCAACTATATTTGTTGGGAAGAGTACTTCATGGCAGTAGCATTTTTAACTGCCATGAGAAGCAAGGACCCTTGCTCACAAGTTGGAGCATGTATAGTGAATACAGACAAGAAAATAGTTGGTATTGGATATAATGGGATGCCGAGGGGTTGCAGTGATGACCTATTACCTTGGGGCAAAGATTCAGAAGACCCTCTTCATACAAAATATATGTATGGTAAGTAAGAATTAAACATTGTATGTCTTAATTAAATTGACTTTTATTATCAATGTTTTCTGCATATTTATTCAATTATCATCATTACAGTACTACCCCATTTTTCCATTTTCCACTGTTAAAAGAAGAAGTGGAAGTATTGTAATCTGCTTCCAATGAGTTATTTTAAAATATGTTCACATACCAACCATTCACTTTTTATACATCCCCTAGCACACTACATTTCAGGTTCGTTCTAGTTCCAAATATTAAACTAAATAGTTTAAGCTTTACCCTGTAGCTTTGTTTTTCTATCAAAGTGCCTGTTTTGCAGGGGGGCCAGGTAGTGTGCCCAGATGGATGACCTGGATTTTCCCTGTTTGGCATTTAGGGATTCAGATCTTGAATTTCCATCCTACTATGTTTCCCCTGCAGAGGCTCAGCAGGCTCTTAGTACTTACCTCCTGCATGACCTGATTTACCCTTGGTTATGGATCTGGCTTCTTTTGAGTTTGGTTCTTCCTTTCCTTATTGGGTGCACTACAAGGTTCTGGAGTCATCCAGGCTAGCGGACTTTCCAGTTGTTTCTCTTGGAGCATGGCACAAGTTTTCCTGTACCTACATGCTTGATTGGCAAGAAGTGTTGACTGTTGAAGGTTTTTCTGGGGGCTTTCTGGAGTACTTCATTGCATACCCCCCTCACCCCTGCCCTTCCCCGTGACATGAATCTTGTGCAGCTACATGCTCAGGTGCTCCTTCTGTCAGCTTCTTTGGTGGCTGATAACTTTCGTACCCATTCCCACTATCTTTCTGGGTGTCCTTCCTTAGATGATGGCAAAGATAATAAACTTTAAATGTAAAGTGTTCATAGGTCATCACTCCGTGTGCCTCTCTAAAGAGGGCCAGGTTCTGGCTCGTGGTCCCTGGTAGGCCAATAGAACTGTGCAACTGATGACACCTAGTTGTACGACACTTAATCAGTGTGATAGCTTCAGGGAGCCTCTGGGGCTCACCCAAAAACTTGTGTTTTAGTATATTCTTTGCTGTTTTTTTACTCTATGAATATTATTTGCCATCATTATAGAAGCTGCACAATTTTGGTAAAGGATCCTCTTCAGGTAACTTAATGTTACTGTACATTACTTTTCATTTTTGGAGGATTCTCAGTTTCAGTGGAAGCTAAACCCAAATTCTGTATGATATCCAACCCACAAATGAAGATGAAGAAACAACGATGTTCTGGCCTATCTTTGACCATTATCAAGTTGTGTAATGGTCCAGAACAGACTAAAATGTCATCATTTCTATTTTTACAGTTGTTGTTTGGATATCAACTTTTCAGCCATGTTATTGTGACTTATTGTATAAGGAATCACAATAATTGTATAATACACAATATACAGAATTGTATAAAACAAATCTGTATATTGTATTAGTTACTAACTTCATAATTTAAAAACATATATTTTCTTATATTTGTCTATCCTTGGTTTAAATTTAGGGTACTTTAGTTTTAAATGCAGAGAATTCATTTTTAAGCAAATTTGCTCACATAAATAAAATAGTACAATGAAACAAAGCTTACCTGTCATGAAAATTGTTTTTTCTTGCCAATTACTAAATACCACATGAAATTTGTAAGGCTAATAACTGATGAATAAATTTTTTTTTATATGAAAGGAGCAAAATGCTGCAACAATGTAAGTATAATTTTGGTAATGTTAACAATAGCAGAATAGGCAGCAGCAATTATTTACTCTTATTTTTGGCTTCATTGTGGTGAACATTTTAATGTGCATTTTAAAGTTTATGAATGGTGCTTAAGTCTTTATCATTTAATTTCTTGTAACTAGTATATCAGATATTTTGTGTTTAGTACTTATTTCTAATCAGTGTTTTTAGTGTTATGAATTCATATTTTAATATTCAACAGTTTGTCATGCTGAGATGAATGCCATCATGAATAAGAATAGTTCTGACTTGTCTGGCTGCACTATCTATGTTGCCTTGTTTCCCTGCAATGAATGTGCAAAATTAATTATTCAGGCCCGAATCAGAGAAGTAGTTTTCTTCTCTGATAAACATGTTCAAAAGCCAGTCACCATTGCAAGCAAGCGCTTGTTGGACATGGCAGGGGTAATGTACAGGTATGGTATGAAAGCTGTTTTAAATTTTTACACATTTTTGTTATCAATTGGTCATTATTATACATCTTCATAAAATACAAATATTCTCCAGACACTTAACTACTGTACTGCACAGTTGTACAGTAGTTACAACAACTCTGTTGTAATAGCACAACTCTGAGAGTTGTGTTATTTTTTAATTACCCTATATTTTAATGTTTTCATCACTCTTTGTGTTTTGAAATGACAATGATTGTGCTTAGAAACCTTTTGACATTAACTTTACCTGAACATTTATAAAAACAACAAAAATATGTCCTTGACAATTGCACTATGAAGTTTCTGCCGAAACTAGATGCACAGTGCGGTGATTAACCACCGCACTGTGTAGAGTGCCTTGAGGCACTAGATCGGGGGTGTGCAGAGCGTCTCAGGGCTCTCGTAGGTTTAACATAGCATTCAAAACTCCCACGGCAACAGGGGGTTCACATCAGCTTCCTCAGGGCTCTAGTAAACAGACACCATTTAAAACAAAATATCATGGGCAACTTTCCCGAGTGTAAGAGCCTCAGTACTGAGTGAGCAACCAAGGCTGGCACATGCAGTATGAGCTAACAGCACTGTTGTTCAGCTTGTGATCACGGCATTGCCTAAAAATGTCTAAATATACACTATATGTAACTGGTATTATTTAGCTATGTTAGTATTACAGAAGATGCTGACTCTGATTAAAACTGTGTACAATGTTCAGATATCAGTGAACATAATGCTGTTCAAGATGTTCACAACACTAGCCACAGCACACTGCCATTGTTTGGTCCATCTAAGAATCTTGAAACGACTTCTCATGTTCCATTACAAAATTAACTTGAGGAAAATTATTCATTTACAGGATTTAATGACTAGGATTTGGCAATGCTGGATTGTGCTGATAATTAGTGATGTGCATAGTATAATGTGAGGAGGAATCTTGGTGAGGATGGAGGGAGGTAGCTTTAGCTGGCTGGTATGTGGCAGCCACCCTGGTCGTTCACGTCCGTGGAGTGTTCAACGTTCTGGCGGAAGGCCAGTCTCAGTTCATTCCCCTATCCATGGAATGGACGGTCAATGCCGACTCATTCAGTTGGCTCTGCCAGACGTTTGGGCGCATGGAGGTGGACCTCTTCACGTTGGTGTGGTCAAGGCATCTTCTGGTATATGTGGCGCCCTTCCCCGACTGCGAGGCGGTTGGGGTTGATGCCTTTTGGCAGGACTGGTTGAGGTGGGGGGGTTCCTGTACCTTTTTCCCCGGTTCAGCTGTTGCTCCAGGTCTTAGCTCGCTTGGAGACTTACCAGGGGAGAGTTGTCCTTCTGGCTCCTTGGTGACCGGCCCAGCCTTGATTTCAGGCGCTGCTTGCTCGGTGTCCGACCCAGAGGGTGTTCCCACGGCTCCACCTCTTTCAGCAGATCGGTTGGTTGGTTCATTCTCCTCGAGTCTTCGCGTCTTGAGTTTCTGACTCGAGTCTATCACCACGTGTATGGGGTGCAGGTGGCTTCGTTGTTGGTGTGCCACCTGCGTGCTTCATCTCGGCGGAATGAAGTTTCCTGGGGGTTCCTTCAGGTTTTTCCTATCACTGCATAGGTGTACTTTGGTCTCTGATAGGGTTGTTTTGTCCTTCCTTTCGTGGTTGTTCCAGGGCCATCATCATATGTCAAATACTGTCGCCTTGTATCGTGCAGTGCTGGCGGAGCCGCTTCAGCTTGCGTTTGGTATTGATGTTACTTCTGCTTCATTTCACAAGCTGTCTTGTGCGTTGATTCACCTCTGGCCTGCTCATGCGCCACCTGAGCCGTCCTGATGTTTGGACTGGGTGCTCTCTTTTCTCTCTTCTCCTCGGTTTGTTGTGGCCCCTTCGGTTCAGGATTGTTTTTCTAAGGCTCTTTTCCTGTTGGCAATGGTCTCTGGGGGTCGGGTAGGGGGGGCAGGGGTTTCTGCTCTTTTGGTTCTGGAGGTAGGTAGGTTCGGATGCAACCGTCTCCTTTTCTGGCGAAGAATCAGTCAGCTGCTTTCTGGAGGAGTCCTTGGGTTGTTGATGCTTGGTTGGTCAGGCCGGGGATGCATCATGGGTTGTCCAGTTGCGGCTCTCCACCGTTATTTGTGCACCACGGCTTCAGTGGCCGGGGATGCGCTTTGGGTTGACCCGGTTTCCCTTCTTCCCTGTTCTCGGGCTTGGGTCTTCCAGGTCGTCCACAGGGTTATTAAGTCTAGTCAGCCTGCGGTCTATCATCGTGTTCACGATGTTCGTAAGTTTGCTGCTTGGCTGCCGTCTTTGGCAACATGTCTTGAGTTGACATTCGGCACGGAATTTTTGGAGGTCGAACAGGGTCCTGGCCACTCTCTACCTTGTCAATATCCCCTGGACCTAGTAGGGCCTGCATTGCATTGGGTCGACGGTTGCAGCCAGTTGTTTCGATTTCGTGTTGAGGAAAAGATTGCCGAAGAAAACATACATTTCCAAGGAGAAGTCATTGCCCAGACACAAGTCTATGAAAGATAGGTTTACTGTACTCTTGTGCTGTGTGGTAAGGCGAGTGGCAATTTAAAAATTAAACCCCCTTGCTTGTGTATCATTCCGAAAATCCTAGGGTTTTCAAAAAATATAATGTGCAGAAAAACAAAATGTGTGTGATGTGGAGGGCTAATGCTAAGGCATGGGTGACGAGGCATTTTTTTACCGAGTAAATGGTAAATGAAGTGGTTTGCCCTGCCATCAAAAAGTATCTGCAGGAGAAAAGTTTTCCACTCAAGGCCCTGCTTCTCCTCGACAATGCTCCTGGCCATCCTCTAGGCTTGGAGGATTCAATGATGGAGTAAGTTTTTTTTTTTACAATATAGTTCCTTCTTCCCAACACCACTCCTCTACTTCAACCTATGGCCCAGAAAATTATTGCCAATTTTAAGAAACTATGAAAAGGCACTTTTCCGGAGATGTGTCGAAGTGACAGACGCCACAAACCTCACCCTGAAAGAGTTCTGGAAAAACAATTTAACATTTGTAGGGCTTTAAAACTCGTAGACAAAGCCTGGCAAGAAGTGATTCTAAGAACCATGATTTCTGGCTGGAGAAAATTGTGGCCCGAATGTGTTCCAGAATGAGACTTTGAGGGGTTTGAGCCCGAACCTGAAGTGCCTCTTGTTGAGGAAATTGTTTCTCTGGGCTGGCAATTGGGCTTGGAGTTGGAAGGTGCTGATATTGAGGAGTTGGTGGAGGAACACAGCGAAGAACTGACCACCGAAGAACTCCAAGCCCTTCACAAGGAGCAGCAACAAGAGGCAGCTGAGGAAATTTCTTCAGGGGGGAGGAGGAGGAAGCAGTAGGGAATGTCCCTTCCTCAAAAATTAAGAAAATGTGTGCAGCATGGGAAGAACTGCAAACTTTTGCAGAAACGACTCGCCCAAATCAAGCTGCAGTAGGCCGTTGCCTTAACCTTTTCAATGACACTGTGATGCATCACTACAAACAAATGTTAAAACGAAGGGAAAAACAAATTTTTAGTGAGACAAACAAGCAGTGAACCACACCCAGGTCCTAGTGGTATGCAGGCAAAATGTAGGAGAGAGTGTACCACAGAGAAGTCATCACTGCCTGATGTTATAAAGGAAGGGGACTCCCCCTTCCAAACAGTAACACCTCTCCTCCCCCCTCCTCACCATCTACCATATGCCATCAAGAGTCCTCCATAAAGGTAAGATAAACATATGTGCTGTATTATAGTTACAGAAAAAAATTGTATTCAGTATAAAATGTATTTTTAAATTGACATTTTTGGGGGTGTGGAATGGATTAATTCAATTCCCATTATTTCTTATGGGAAAATTCATTTCGACATAATACGATATTTAGACTTACGATACATCTCCGGGAACGGATTACCATCGTAAATCGAGGCCCCAATGTACTGTACTGTCGCCTCTTATCGTGCGGCATTGGCGGAGCCGCTCCAGCTTGCGTTCGGGGTCGATGTCACTTCCGCCCCGTTCTGTAATCTTTCTTGTGCTTTGTTTCACCTCCGGCCTGCTCATGCATTGCCTGAGCCATCCTGGTCCTTGGACGGGGTGTTCTCTTTTCTCCTCGGTTTGTGGTAGCCCCTTTGTTTCAATATTGCTTCCAGAAGGCACTATTTCTGTTGGCATTGGCCTTTGGGGGGGTCAGGTCGGTGAGATTCATGCTCTCCTTCAGCGCAGAAGTTCTGCTCTCTGGGTCCTGGTGGACATTTAGCTTGGTTGCAGCCGTCTCCCTCATTTCTGGCAAAGAATGAGATGGCGAGCATCCGAAGGGACCCTTGGATTATTGATGATTGGTTGATCAGGCTGGCGGTGCATCGTGTGTTGTGTCATGTTGCGGCTCTGCTCCTTTACCTGCGAGCCTTGGCTTCTGTGGCTGTGGTCGCGCTTTGGGTTTATCCAATTTCCTTCATTCCCTGTTCCAGGGCTCGAGTCTCTCAGGTTGTCCGCAGGGTAGTTAAGTCTAGCCAGCCTGCGGTCTACCCTCGTGCCTATGATGTTCATAAGTATGCTGCTTTGGCTGACGTGTTTGGGAGCGTGTCTTTGGCCGACATTCATGCACGGGAGTTTTGGAGGTCGAACAGGGTCCTGGCTGCCTGGTATTTGGTGAAAGTTCCTGGTCCCAGTCGTTCATATGTGGCTTTGGGTCACAGTTTGCATCCCATTGTCTTGTCTTTGCGTTGATGCACGCGGTTCGGCGCAGCGCCTCCCGGGTAAGTCCCTCTTTTACTTATCTTTGGTTATGTAGCTCCAGGGAGCTGAAGGGGGGATTCTTTCAAAAAATCAGCGTTGAATGTAATGAAATGCATCGGTTTGTGGTAGCCCCTTTGTTTCAATATTGCTTCCAGAAGGCACTATTTCTGTTGGCATTGGCCTTTGGGGGGGTCAGGTCGGTGAGATTCATGCTCTCCTTCAGCGCAGAAGTTCTGCTCTCTGGGTCCTGGTGGACATTTAGCTTGGTTGCAGCCGTCTCCCTCATTTCTGGCAAAGAATGAGATGGCGAGCATCCGAAGGGACCCTTGGATTATTGATGATTGGTTGATCAGGCTGGCGGTGCATCGTGTGTTGTGTCATGTTGCGGCTCTGCTCTTTTACCTGCGAGCCTTGGCTTCTGTGGCTGTGGTCGCGCTTTGGGTTTATCCAATTTCCTTCATTCCCTGTTCCAGGGCTCGAGTCTCTCAGGTTGTCCGCAGGGTAGTTAAGTCTAGCCAGCCTGCGGTCTACCCTCGTGCCTATGATGTTCATAAGTATGCTGCTTTGGCTGACGTGTTTGGGAGCGTGTCTTTGGCCGACATTCATGCACGGGAGTTTTGGAGGTCGAACAGGGTCCTGGCTGCCTGGTATTTGGTGAAAGTTCCTGGTCCCAGTCGTTCATATGTGGCTTTGGGTCACAGTTTGCATCCCATTGTCTTGTCTTTGCGTTGATGCACGCGGTTCGGCGCAGCGCCTCCCGGGTAAGTCCCTCTTTTACTTATCTTTGGTTATGTAGCTCCAGGGAGCTGAAGGGGGGATTCTTTCAAAAAATCAGCGTTGAATGTAATGAAATGCCATTTTCTGGGCGAGCCTCGGAAGCTCCCTGGTATCCTCCCTCCCTCTGGTCGGTGGATTTGTTTTTGATGCTCAGTCTTCAAACTGAGGTATGGGCAGCTGGTGTGGGGGTCCAAGGCTCCTCCTCCCCCTCCCTTGCCCAGACCACCAGACCCCCGTTTGGGGAGGAGGGGTGCTAGAAAATGGTGTTTCATTACATTCAACACTGGTTTTTTCACCTCCAGCCTGCTCATGCGCCTCCCGAGTCTTCCCGGTCTTTGGACGAGGTTCTTATTTTCTTTCTCCTCCTCGTTTTTGCAATCACCAGCCCCTTCGGCTGGTGATTGTTTTCGGAAGGCCTTATTTTTGTTCGCCTTTGCCTCTGGGGCTCAGGTTGGGGAGTTTCATTCTCTCCTCTGGCACCGGGGGTTCTGCTCCTTTGGTCCAAGTGGTCGTTTTGTTCGGTTACAGCCCTCCCCTTTTTGTCGGGCGAAGAATGAGACGGCAGGCTTCCAAAGGGATCTGGTGGTGGTGGATGCTTGGTTGGTTAGGCCAGGGGGGTGCATCATTTGTTGTGTCCGGTGGCGGCTTTAGACCACTACCTACGAGCCACTGATTTTGTGACGGTAGACTCTCTTTGGGTGGATCCGGTTTCCCAGGTTCCCTGTTCCCAGGCTCGTGTGTCTCGGGTTGCCTGCAGTGTCATAAAGTCCAGCCAGCCTACGGTCTACCCTTGTGCCCATGACGAATGGAAGTACACAGCGCTCATTGGTGTTTTTGGGAACTTGTCTTACATTGACATTTGGGCGTGGGGTTTTTGGAACTCATACAGGGTCCTAGCTGCCAAATATCTAATGAACATTCAAAGCCCTCTCTGGCCTTGTGTGGCTTTGGGGCGTCTGTCAAGGCTGTTGGTCTCCTCTTCGACTTGAGCCCCTATGGTGCTGTCACCTCCTGGGTATGTCCCTGTTTTTCTTCTCTGTGGGTAGTTTGCTTCAGGGAGCCAATGGGGCTCCCCCAAAAAACCAGTGTTGAATGTAATGAAACGCCACTTTCTGGGCGAAGCCCCGGAGGCTCCCTGACACCTTTCCTCCCTCTGGTCGGCGATTTTTTTACATTAGGCCTAAAACTGAGGTGGTGGATGGTCCGCTTGCCTTAGCTGGCTCCTCCTTCCCCTTGTCAGGGGGGGTTATGCTAACAAGCAGGAATACTAGTTGCATGCAGGGTTACTAGTTTCTATTATTTTCTATTTTTTCTTTTCTTTCAGCAGGAGTCTCTTTGCTCGTTCTGGCTGTAGATCCCATTTTTTCTGACTAGTTGTTTGTTTTGGTTTGCCCATCTTTCTGGGTGCCCATCCCTGTCTATAGTATAGTATATATATATATTATTATATATATATATATATATATATATATATATATATATATATATATATATATATATATATATATATATATATATATATATATATATATATTTATTTATGTATATGTATATGTATTCACCTAGTTGTGTTTGGGGGGTTGAGTTTTGCTCTTTCAGCCTGCCTCTCAACTGTTTACTAACTACTTTTTTTTTCTTCTTCTTTTTCCACATCACACCCCCCCCCCCCCCCCGCCCCCCCCCCCCCAGGAAGCAGCCTGTGACAGCTGACAAACTCCCAGGTACCTATTTACTACTAGGTAACAGGGGCATTCAGGGTGAAAGAAACTTTGCCCATTTGTTTCTGCCTGGTGCGGGAATCGAACCCACACCACAGAATTACGAGTCCTGCGCGCTATCCACCAGGCTACCAGGCCCCCTAAATTGTATATATATGTACATGTATATTTGAGTACAGTATGTGTACGAGTATATATATATATAACATTAATAATTGTGTAACTAGCATCAAATATTGTTATTTGCTTAGCTAAACAAACTAGGGGGTTCAGTTCCAGAACCGATTACTGTATGTGCCTCTGTAACCCTTTACACCACCGCCCATGGGATGGGTTTGGGGTGCATAATAAAGAAAGAAATTGAATTACTGTGGACACAAGCCAAACACCGGTGCTGTTAGCTCATTCTGCAAGCGCTACCCTAGGTTTGTTTACTAAGTACTGAAGCCTTCACACCCAAGAACAGTGTCCATGATATTTTTAAAAAACAGTGTGTTTACTGGGGGCCTGAGAAAGCTGAATATTATGCAGTACTCTAAATCATCCATGTATGACTCACACAGTGTGGTCAGATTTACCACAATCATCTCTATATCACTAGTGCAGCGGAAGGGTAAAGAAAGCAACAACATTATTAAATAAAATCTATAGTTTTAACAACATTACTATTTAGCACGCCTTCTTCTTTAGTACTACAGTATAACAAAACTTGCCCATTCATAGATAATTATCATAGCCAGAGTCATAATGTAAAGGTTAGCTAGCAATTTTTTGCTTGGGAGGTTGTCATCAGACATATTACAAAGGTCAGTAGATGCTACATTGCTTGAATGTCTGTATCAAGAAGTGAATAATGAAGAGTAATTGGCTTTTATTTAAAATATATTGTATTGAAAAATAATGCTATTTATGCTTTCATTTAGGCAGTTTATACCATCTCAAAAGGAAATAAAGTTGGACTTGTCAAGAAATACAGACCCAGGTGATTGGGAATGTCTTGAAGATGACCATAACGATAACCAAAATGATGAGAAACTAAACAATACCTTCCATTCATCAGGGGCTTCCAGGTACTGTACTGTATAATATACTTTGATTGATTATGTTGGATATGGTAAAATGTAAAATTTTAATATACTGTATTTGTGATTATTATACAACATTTTGATTAACTGTTCTAAATGTTTTTCACTCATCCAAGACATATATAAATCTATTTAGTTATTCCTGCAAAATGCTTTTTGCATCTGAACAAAGCTTCTGTTACTTGCACCTTTACTGAAAATATAAATAATCTGCAGATAATTTTTCCTTATGTCAATTGCCCTAAAATACGTACAGTATAAGAAAATCACAATGATATTAAATATGCATGAAAAAATCTTTGGATCAAGACATGGATCAAACCAGTGTCTTGGGTCACCACAGTGCACCTTAACCCATGGATCACCTTTTGCCCTAAAATATAATAAAAATGCATTATATTATGCCACATGTATAGCATGTATACTGTACAGTGTATTGCTTTTCCAGAGATATCAACAACAAAAGAGATGACTACTTAAAATGGGAGGAGTATTTCATGGCTATGACAGCTTTGTCTGCTCTTCGAAGTAAAGACCCAGCTACACAAGTAAGTTCTTTCTTATTGATTGTAAGCAGGCTACGTATATACAAAAATATTATATGAGGCACTGCTAGTAACAATTGGTTAAGTGCCAATAGAAAAACAATAAATGCTGATAAAACAAAATCACCACTTTGTTGTCAAGGCCAATCGACCACACTGTGTAACACAGTACAGTTGGGATCATTCTTAACTCACAATCGGGAATTCTGGATTTAAGTCATAGGAGGGACAAAAAGGGTTGGGAATGTTTCCATTCACCTAATGCCTCTGTTCACCTAGCTGAAAATGAGTACCTAGGAGTTTGTAAACTATTGTGGAGTTGTATACTGGGTTGGGGAGCTTCATGCTCTCCTCCAGCGCAGGGCTTTCTGCTCCTTCGGTCTTTGCGATGGTTTTGTTCGTTTGCAGCCGTCTCCTTCTTTTCTGGCGAAGAATGAGACTGCTATTTTCCGGAGGGGTCCCTGGGTTGTTGATGCTTGGTTGGTCAGGCCGAGGGTGCATCATGTTTTATGTCCGGTTGCGGCTCTTCGCCGTTATTTGCATGCCACGGCTTCTGTGTCCGGGGATGCGCTTTGGGTTGATCCGGTTTCCCTTCTTCTCTGTTCGCGGGTGCAGGTCTCCCAGGTCGTCCGCAAAGTTATTAAGGCTAGCCAGCCTGCGGTCTATCCCCGTGCCCATGACGTTCGTAAGTTCGCTGCTCTGGCTGCCGTCTTTGGTAACATGTCGTGGGCTGGCATTCAGGCACGGGGCTTTTGGTGGTCGAACAGGGTCCTGGCTGTTCGTTATCTAGTGAACATTCCTGGGCCTAGTCGGGCCTGTGTCGCTTTGAGTCGGCGGCTGCAGCCAGTTGTCTCGACTCTTGAGTTGAGGAGTGAGCAGTGACCGGCTCCCGGGTAAGTCCCTCTGTTTTTCCTCTGTGGGTAGTTAGCTCCAGGGAGCCGCAGGGGCTCCCCCCCAGAAAACCAGTGTTGAATGTAATGAAACGCCATTTTCTGGGTGAGACATAGAGGCTCCCCGGCATCCCTCCCTCCCTCTGGTCGGCGTTTTTTTTTTTTTTGCGTGTTTTTGACATGTGAAGAGCAGAGAAGAGTGTGAAAGTGAAGAGCAGGGGTGCCATAGGCACAATCAGAGAACACTGTATAAACATCAGAGGTTCATGCTTGTTCAATATCCTCCCAGCGAGAATAGGAAATATTGCGGGAACAACCGTGGACATCTTCAAGAGAAAACTAGATCATTTTCTCCAAGGAGTGCCGGACCAACCGGGCTGTGGTGGATATGTGGGCCTGCAGGCCGCTGCAAGCAACAGCCTAGTGGACCAAACTCTCACAAGTCAAGCCTGGCCTTGAGCCGGGCTTGGGGAGTAGAACTCCCAGAACCCCATCAACCAGTATCAACCAGGATTCAGTTGCAGGTTCGTACCTGATCTGGGATTCTTGGTTGGCTTTCCTCTCCCTTTGGCCTGTATCCCTGCTACACTTGGATGCGCATCTCAAGCTTGTAGTGGAGAGTCTCGAGGTTACCTATGTGTCATGAGGTACTGTATACCTATATGGCTCAAGTGGATGTGTGGGAGTCTGAACTTTTCCCTGGTAGTGTTTTCCCTATCTTGAGGTTATCTTGAGATGATTTCGGGGCTTTAGTGTCCCCGCGGCCCGGTCTTCAACCAGGCCTCCACCCCCAGGAAGCAGCCCATGACAGCTGACTAACACCCAGGTACCTATTTTACTGCTAGGTAACAGGGGCATAGGGTGAAAGAAACTCTGCCCATTGTTTCTCGCCGGCGCCCGGGATCGAACCCGGGACCACAGGATCACAAGTTCAGTGTGCTGTCCGCTCAGCCGACCGGCTCCCTAAGCAAAGTTTGGCTCCTCGCTCTGTACCCATTTCTTCAGTTCAGTCCCTTTCACTTCTGCCAGGATGATCCGGAGCAGGCACACAAGACCCTCGGTTGGCTTCTGGCTCACCAGTTTCCTATTCTGGCTCACCAATTTCTTATTCTGGCTTTTCAGAACTGTCTTCCCTGGCACTCGACTTTTTCACCGAGACCTTGGCCTTGGTTGAGGTTTGTGATCACTCACTTAGCAGCTCATGGCCAGTGGGTGCATCCATTGCACTAGTACACAACACAGTGTATGAGTATGAGGCAGTTTGGCCCACTCAGCAGTTGCTTTCATCTTCAGACAGGCTCTGTGGTCTGGCTCCACTCCGACTGCATTCTATTGGCTCATTGTCTGAAATGAAGCAGGTTAGGTTGCTTTGGTTGCTTCCTTTGTGGAGCTGGACTTTGCAGGTAGCTCATCTAAGAGATGAGCTACCTGCAAAGTTTATGTGATTCACAAAAGGGGATTTGCAGAGTTTTGCAGGAAGGTCTCTCATTTTTGTTACTTCACAGCAGAGTGGACTGATGACAATGCATCCGTTTGTTGACTTAGTGAGACATTTAGTTGCCCAGAGATGGACCTTTTGCATTGGTGTGGAACTGGGGACTTTCGGTTTATGCTGCCCCATTTCCCTAGGCTCTTGTGTTGGATTCATTTCCACTGGACTAGGTTCGGTGAGAGTCTCTCTATCTATCCCCTCTGGTTCAATTGATGCTGCAGATTGTGTCCAGATTGAAAACAGTCTCTGGAAGGGTCTTTCTTCTAGTTTATCTTATGGCTGACCCAGCTACGTTTATGCCTTTAGTCTGTTGTCTGAACCCATGTTGTTGAGGGCTGCTCTGCCTCTTTCAGCAGACAGACCAGGAGATGTTCTTCGATGGTTTGAGACTCTCCGCAGATCTACATGTCTGGAGTTTCTGACTCTTATGTACCGCTCTTTATATGGTCTGCAAGTGGCCGATCTCTTCATGTCTTTGATCACAGCAACAGTCTGAGGTTGCTTGGGGCTCAACCATAATTTTATGTCTTCATGAATTATCCACAGTTTCTTTGCCTGTAGTCTTTTTGTTTTTGTTTTGATTGTGGATCAGCAGCTCATGCCAAATACCAATGCCTTGTATCTTTCAACCTTGGTAGCTGCTGCTGTTGGCATTGTGTGTTGTCATTTCATCGGCACTTTTTCTTAAGTTGTCTTGAACATATTTTAACCTCTAGCCTGCTCACACTCCTGACATTTCTTGGTCTTATCTTCTTGAGGTTATCTTGAGATGATTTCAGGGCTTTAGTGTCCCCACGGCCCAGTCCTCGACCAGGCCTCCACCCCCAGGAAGCAGCCCATGACAGCTGACTAACACCCAGGTACCTATTTTACTGCTAGGTAACAGGGGCATAGGGTGAAAGAAACTCTGCCCATTGTTTCTCGCCGGCGCCCGGGATCGAACCCGGGACCACAGGATCACAAGTTCAGTGTGCTGTCCGCTCGGCCGACCAGCTTCCGGCTCCGACCGGTCTTCGGACAAAGTTTTTTTTCTCCACTTCACTGTTTTCTGTCAACACTTCAGTCTGAGATTGTTTTTTCATGGCTTTTTTTGTTTGCTTCCTCACTTAAGGTTGTCAGGTTGGGGAGTTTCATGTTCACTAAAAGTAGTTTTTGTTCTCTTAGTCTCTCTTTTTTTTTTAATTTGCAGCCTTCTCCTTCTCTTCAGGACAAGAATAAGATGGTTTCTGAAGGGGTTCTTAGGTGATTGATGCTTGGTTGGTTCAGCCAGGAGTGCATCTTTTGTTGTCTGGTTGCAGCTGTTTGCCATTAATTCTGTGTGGTGGTGTGTGTGTGTGGGGGTAGGGGGGATGCTCTGTGGATCCAGTACCCCTGGTTTCTTACTCCAATGCCCATTTATTTTGGGTCATATGCAGTGTCATTAGGTTTATCCAGCCTGTCTACCCTTGGGCTCATCATGTTCGTAAGTTTGGGGTGCTGTGTTTGCTATGTTTTCAAATGTCCTGGGGTAGATATTTGGCTCGAGATATTTGGACTGTTTTGGCAGTCCTACAGAGTGCTAGTAGTTCGTTACTTATTGAAGTTGCCTAGTCCATGCTGGGCTCATATGGCTTTGGAATGGGTTAATTGTCATTAATTTCCTCTCCTGCAGTGGCTTCTGTCTGCAGCTTTCCTCTACCCCTGGTGAGTTCCCCTTACTTTTTGTTCTCCAAGGTGATGTAGCAACAGGGATCCTAGAACACCAGCATTGAAATTAATAAAATTCATCTCTTTAGTGGATCCTTTCCATTTTCAGGGGCTTCAGTTTTTCCATCTTTGTGGCTCAATGACTGAGGTATCTGTTGTGGGTGAAGGGATGAAGTAGCTAGGTGTGCAGCCACCTGGTGGTATCCAGGTGCAATTAATGTGTGAACTGCTTCATAACTGTGTGGCTTGTATTGGTGTGTTGTTTTCTATGTTATGTTTACCCTGCTGATTGTCTATTTTGTCTCACTTTTCTGATGGCTTTTACTTGGTCTGAGTGATATTGCATCCTCAGCTCCTTGCTCCTTTATACAGGAGGCCAGGTTTTAGCTCCATGTCCCTGTTAGGCTTACAGTAGCTAGGTAGCTAACAACAGGGAGCCACCAAGGACCTACCAAGAGAGGTGTTCCATTATATCAGATGCTGGTTTTTCCAGATTTAGCAAAGTATCATTTTCCAATACCTGTCAGATTTTCCACTGTATTGCTTTTTTTTTCTGGGGGGAACCCCGGCGGTTCCCCGGAGCTATCCAGGCTGAATGGATATGTATAACTTTCTGCCATCAGTTATAGTGCTTGGAGTTCTTGCCTACCGGGACCACGAGTCAGAACCTGGCCCCCTCAGAGAGGAACGAGGAGCAATGGCCTATAGAAACCCCCCCTGTGGTTGGGAGCATTCTATGTCTGCCATCGACCGGGATAGGCACCCAGAAAGGTAGGCGCCCCAAAACAAACTCATATTCTGGTGAAAATATTGCTACTGAAAGCTGAACGAGTGGACAGAACTCCCCAAACAAAATGATCAAACTAGCATGACGTCATTGTGTCGCCGCCGTCTGCACAACCCCCCTCCTTCCCAGGAGGGGAAAATGCGCAACCCCCCTTCCTCCCCGGGAGGGGGAAGGAGGAGCCCCAGACCATCCGCGCTGGTGATCCAACCAGCAGTTCTTGGCTGATGTGATTACTGGCCGGTCGGGTGCCTCTGGCTCCGGTTTTGTTTCAGTTCAGTGCTTTGTGGTGTGGGCTGTCTCTTCAGGTGGTGTGTGAGCCAGGAGAAATATTCCACGGTACTTGGGCTGCATGCGCCTAGGGCTCTCTTCCTTAGGTGCCCTGAAGTACTGCCCTTGGGGGCCACCTTCCACAAGTCACCTTGATATCTACCTCTGCTGTGTCCTTTACTGCTCGGTACTTGGCCGCCCTTGAAGTCAGCTGGGATTTTGTTGCCCTTGTTTATCTCTGGGTAGGAGATAGTTTTCGTCACTAGTAGGGGCGCGGGGTACTGCACAGCTAGTTTTTCACCAGTAACAGCGGCCGGCTCTGTTTTGCCTGGGTACGTTGTCCTCTTCGGGGTTTTTCTTTTGTTTTTGTTTTTTGCCTGGTGGGAGGGTCTGCCTTTGTGGTTCCCCTTTGCTGTTCTAGGGTTATTATATATCTTTTCTGTTTTGGTGGTACTCCCCGCTTGGCCCCCGTGAGTGGACACACATCCCGGGGTTTCAGCTTTTAGAATTGGTAGACTTGGGCACCGGTTCACAGTACCCTGCCTGGGCTTCCCTTAGTGTGTAACCAAGGCTAAGGGACCTGAGAAACCCCACGGGGGCTACATGGTTCGATGGATGTGACCCCTGAGTCCCCCCTCACGTCTTGCGAGTTTGAAGGCTGCTCTGTCCTCTTGTCTCAGGGTGACACTCACTGGTTGTGCCTCCACCGTGCTGCCTGTTGGGTCAGTGATTCTCTTGACCCAGAGTCGTGCGACGTGTTTTGTCTGTACGTACTCCATTCACCCAAGCCACTGATCAAGATTTGCGGGTGCAGGCAGCTGCGGCGTTGCATGCTAGGTTTGGGTTGTTGCAACGCGCTAGGTTGATTTAAGCCCTGGATGCCCCGAGATTGCCCCATTGGTTATCAGGGTCCGGACTTGGGGTGGAGTCGCTTCGGCTCTGGTTCTGTCCGCTCCTCCTAGTCCTTTCCCTTCTGTTGTGCATACTTCCCTCCCTTTGCTTCCGGCTCCGACCCGTCAGCGGGTTTCAGGGTTGGGGCAGGGTCTGGTTGGGTTGAGACTCGGGCAGTCTCGGGGGTTTTCCTCTTTCGGGATGGCGGTGGAGGCATTTGAGCCTGTTCCTCCAGCCGTGCCGTATGGGTCTGACCAGTGGGCTCCCTTAGTGTTTTGCATGGCTGCCCTGTCTTTTTCTTGTGGGACTGGGGCTTTGGGGGGGATGAATCAGCTCCAAGTCCTGCCGTAGAGGTTCCCGGGGTTGGGGAGCAGTTGCCTAGGTGGCCTAGGCCCTGTTTTGCCTTGCTTGGGTTTTTGTACCCTCAGAGTGGGGCTTGCAGTTCCTCAGAGTGGGGTTTTTCCTTCCCCCTCTGTGTTCGTGTTGGTTTCGGGTCTACCCCTCCCGATGGCCGCCTTCAGTTATAGTGCTTGTACGTACGGTTCTGTGTCCCTTCGGGTCCATCGGTTCCATCATTCCTGGGGGTGCTTTTTTCCCCTTTCCTTTCGTTTTCACGATTATGTTACGTAAATGTTCCCTTCGTATCGGGAACCCTGCGTGTCCCTTGGTCAGGGGTCTCTTTGGGCCATATGTGCCTCCGTGCATTTGCGCTTGCTTCTCACGGTTCTCATTGGTTCACAGAACTTTTCAATACTTCCAATATTATTGGAACATTTATTGACTTCTAGTGATGCGACTGACCACAACACATGATTTGGTTGGTCATGTACATTGCGTTACCGGCTGCTACTGGGTTCGTGTTTCGTTTTTTTTCCTGGCCTATTTCCGTTTTTCCTTCCTTCATGTTACACATTGTTGTGTATCTTGGTTGGTGGTTATTGACTATACTGATGTTAGGTGCTGGGATGGGCCTCTGTTCATGTTCAGTTCCCTGATTTTGGACTACCCCAGTGTTCAGTTTTGGTACTGAGTTCTTTCACTTTTTCCTTGTATCTCACTGCAGGTTTCTGTGTTGCAATGTCTGCGGGTGGTTGTGGACTTCCGGTCAACCGCTCTTGCCCTACTGGTTTTTTTTCTTGGGACAGGGGTCGCTTGGATTCCGGTCTTGGTTATGGCTCTTCTTTGTTCCTTTTCCGGAACGTACATTTTTGTTTTCCTGCAGAACATGTCCTGAGTAGTTCTCCTCATGTATACCTCAGAGATGTGTGCATCGTTCTTCCCTGCTGGAGCTGGTTGCACTGCTCCTTTGGGTTGTGGGGTCGCTGTTTTTAGCTTCGCGTCTCGCGCTTTAGTTCGTGGTGCTCGTTTTCCTCGTTGGCCTCTGCCTGGGCCCTGGCTCTTCGGTGTTTGGCCTTGTTGGTTCTTCAGGGGTTCTGGGGGAATAGTTCCTCCCGGACGGGGCGTGTCTGCTCGCCGGGGTGGGTTCCTTTCCGGCTCGCTGAGATTGGGTTCCTGGTTCCCTGGTGGCCATTCCTTATGGTTCTTTGCCAGCCTTGGTTGGGATGTTGCTTTACTAGCTTTCCGATCCTGCAGGTCTTCCCGCGGCTCCACCTCTTTTTGTGCATCGGTCCAGCCCTGTAGGAGGCTGGTTCGTTCTTCCCCTCGAGTCTTCGTGTCTCGGGTTTTTGTCTAGAGTTTCTTGTCACTTGTGTGGGCACTGGTGGCTTCGTTGTTGGTCTCCCAACAGCGTGCTTTGTCTTGGCAGCAGTGTGTAGTTTCCTGGCGGTCCTTCCGATTTTCCTATCACTGTGAAGGGTTCTTCGGTCTCTGATAGGGTTGTCTTGTCTTTCCCTTAGGGATTGTTCCGGGACTGTCGTCTGATGCCGTGTTCTGTTGCCTCATCTTGGGTGGTGCTGGCGGGGCCGCTCTAGCTTGCATTCGGTGTTACTGTTCCTTCCGCTGTGTTCCGCTTGTTGTCTTGGGCATTGTTTCACCTCCGTCCTGCTTTTGCACTTCCGATGCCGACCTGGCTGTTGGCCCGGGTAATCTGTTTTCTTCTCAGTTTGTCATGATCCCTTTGGTTGTGGTGTGTTTTTGTTTTGTTTTAAAGGTCTCCTTTTTTTGTTGGCGTTGATCTCTGGGGGTCGGGTTGGGGAGTTTCCAGCTCTCCTCCAGCGCCCGTGTTTTTTCTGCCTTGTTTGATCCTAGTGGTAGGTTGTTCGTTTGCTGCAGGTTCCTCCTTTTGGATCATGTTTGGGTCTGCTGTTTTCCGGAGGGGTCCTTGGGTTGCTGCTTGGTTGGTCAGGCCGGGGGTGCTTCATTGCTGCTGTCTGCGCAACCCCCTCCCGGGAAGGAGGGGGTTGAGCAGACGGCAACGTGGCGACATGATGATGCCGTGCTAGTTTGATCATTTTGTTTGGGGAGTTCTGTCCACTCGTTTGGCTTTCGGTAGCAATATTTTCACCAGGATAGGGGTTTGTTTTGGGGCGCCTACCTTTCTGGGTGCCTATCCCAGTCGATGGCAGACATAGAATGCTCCCAACCACAAAGAGGTTTCTATAGGCCATTGCTCCTCGTGCCTCTCTGAGGGGGCCAGGTTCTGACTTGTGGTCCCGGTAGGCAAGAACTCCAAGCACTATAACTGATGGCAGAAAGTTATACATATCCATTCTGCCTGGGATAGTTCTGGGAAACCTCCGAGACTCATCCAGAAAATGGAGTTTCATTACATTCAACACTGATTTTTTGTTTAACTACATTTACTCATTATTGCATCTATATCATAGATAACTGCAGCTTTTTAATACTGTATTTCAGATTCACAGATTCTAATTTTTTTTTTTTATATATTAGCTGGTATTCTGTCCTGTACACTTCTTATGACAGCTAATACAATTCTTTTCAAATTAGCGCCTTGTTAGGATTGAGTGTGATGTATAGGATTAAGTATTACCTAGGATAGGTTCATACATTTTGGATTAATGCCTTTTATATTGTGTATTTTATATTTACTGTATGTTGATACATGGCATCTATACTGGTGAGTGGAAGTTAGGTTTGAAATAAAAATGCAGTCAGGATGTTCTCCATCACGTCTATCCATCAGATTTTAAACGTATTCTCTTTGTCAGTTACTAATTTCCCATGCTTCTTTATATATTTCCCATTTACTTCTTCACCAGGCTCCCTGATGCACTTCCTTACTTCTTTCACGAATAGCTTAAATTTTGCTTGAACTTATCGAAAGAAAAACAAGTGCCTGGCATAATTAAGGATTGCAAGTAGTATAACACAATGTAAAATAGTAAACTTTTTCAAACGATATATTTTTCATTAAAGAAGTTACTATGTACCAGATGGTGTGATGTAATAGCATATTTTAAAATTCTATATTTTACAGCTAGGAGCATGTATTGTGAACAATGAAAACAAGATTGTTGGTATTGGTTACAATGGTATGCCTTGGGGTTGCAGTGATGATAAGTTACCATGGGGTAAAAGCAGCACTGATCAACTTGAAAGAAAGTATATGTATGGTAAGTGTTCAAGTGTAATTGTAATAGGTAGTGAAGGTTGGTTATAATTATATGAATAATGCTTTTCTGCAGGGTTGGTTTATTGATCATATTTAAGAGATACCCCCTGTTATTGCTCCTTGAGCTATGTATGGTATGGCCCACCCACAGACTTTAAACCTGGAGGCATATCGTTCCTGATTCCTTGTTGTCACTGTGGTAATCTCCTTCAGTATAAAGATACGTGTACTGCTAAACTTTTGGGGTTGATCTTGGACTCCCGTTTGTCTTGGTCACCCCATACTGTATCTCTCACCTCTTTACTTATAGAGAGAGAGTACGGAACAAGTCTTTCTCTCTGTCTAAACTTGATTATGGCTGCCCTGGCTATTCCTCTGCCTCTCCTTTGACCCTTCATTGTCTTGATGCTCTCCACCATAGTGTTATGCCTTGGCACAGGTACATTTTGTCCATCCTCCACCCAGAGTTTCTATTTTGAAATCAACATCCTGTTTCTACAGGATCATAAAGATCATTATTGCCTTTACTACCTTGCAAAGTCTCTGCAAAATCCTCACTCTAACTTATGCAACGCTTTGCCTGTTACTCGTCAGGAAGACTGTTTCCTCTTGCCACCTTCTTTTACCTGTAAAGATGACTCATCTGCAAAATGACCCCTCAATTCAGATTTGCAATCACTATCCATATGTTGTTCTAACCTTGCCCCCATGGAGGGTGCCACTTGTGAAGTCTTGC